ACCAATGGGTGGGGTCGCCGGGTTCCACCGTCCCCTCGTGGGGTGGGGGTGGGGGGGTTGCACAAGGCCAAACCCCTGGACTGAAACGCACGACGGGACAGTTGAGAGCGGGCAACCCTCTGACCAGGCCGTGGCGAGGCGTGGCGCGTGTCGCGGGTGCTAACGCCGCTGCGGGCGGTGCGGAGCCCACACCTGCTTGCGGAAGCACAGGACGAGGAGCACGTAGATGGCGCCGAGCGAGACAAACACGAAGAAGGAGATGTAGGCGGCATCCGCCTGCGACGTGAAGTCGCCCTCCTCGCCGTACCGCACGTCCGCCTTCATCGCCTGCTGCCTCGTCCACAGCCACCAGCAGAGCACGCCGTCCGCTGCGGCGAGGCCGAAGAGAGTGATCCAAACCATCAGACCGGCGAGGAAGCGGATGAGCAGCAGCCAGGCGAAGCCAACGAGGAGCGCCACCGCCGAGCAGCCAGCCAGGACCTGGGAGCGGGGTGCGGGACCAGGGGCGGTGAGGTGTGGAGGGGGTGGAGGTGTGGCGTGGTGCCACAGTGGGGCGGGGGATTTGGGGGGGGGCGAAGGGGTTGGGTTCAAGGTGCGGGGAGTGGCACCGGCCACGCGACCGACAAGTCCTCCACCGCCATGTGCGGCAGCGAAGAGATCAGCCGCCGCAGCTCGTCCATGTCCTGCGGCGAGAGTTCCGTGCTGCCGTCGCCGCTGCCGCCCTCGAGCCCTTCATACGCGGAGGCGGCATAGTCGGGGTTGCCGCTGGTGCCGACGGTGGCGCCGAGGACGGCGACGGCAGCGACGACGTCCGCCATGGCGGCGAGGGTCGCGTCCTGCTGCGGGAGACACATCTGCAGCACCCGAGTCGTCGGGTACGGAGGGAAGCACACGTCGCAGTCTTGCAGCGGGTCGGCACAGGCGGCGGCCGCCACAGCGCCCGCGCGCAGAAAGTAGGCGTTGCGGTAGGCGACGCACTGGGGGAGGTCGCCGCCCCCGTCGGGGCACTCTGGCGGCGGGCCGGAGGCGTACTTCCCGGTGCAGACCCAGGTGCCTGTGGGGCGGGGGGCCTGGCCGGTCGATGGCGTGCAGATCCGGGTCGGGGTGGTCGCCGGGGCACTCGTCGAGGCAGACGGCGACGGGCGCAAATCCGCCCAGCTCGCCCGCGGGCAGGGTGAAGTAGAGGACACTGCGGGACGTGTGGTCGCGCATGCCTCTCCGCACTCGCGAGGAGGGAGGCCGTGACGAGATACGCGCGCCGGGGTGGAGCTTCTCGAAGAGGGTCAACTCGTCGTCCCGCGGCTCAATAAACTCTGGCAGACCGGTCGCCTCGATCGAGTTGTCTTGACCGCACAAGTCAGCCTGTGGGGCGCGCACCCGCACCGTGAGAAAAGCCGTTTGGCGAACGCACACGCGCATGGGGAAAGCGAGTCCGGGCGCTGCGCGCCATGTAGTCCTGCCCGTAGAGCACACGGGCGAGGTCTCCATTTTTGGAAGCGTACACCGCAGCGTAACCTGCCGCTCCGAGGGCGCCGAGAAAAGCGAGAAGGAAGAGGCAGTCGGTGCAGCGTCGCGGCCTGTCCTCTGGGAGCTTGGACCTCGAGGGCTGCTCCATCATCCGATGGCAGAGGAGCGGAGGGAATTAGTAGCTGTGTGGCCCAGCCGCCCCTTCGTAGAGAGCAAAATCAGAGCGCCGTCTCAGTTTGGTTTCTTTTTTTGAGTTTGCCTTCGATGTTAGGAAACAAAGCAAGGCGGACATGGCATATCGTGTCTTTTTTTGAAAGAGAACAAACACCAAAAGCTTAGTCGCGCTTCGGTGGTTATATTTCAGGACTTCCCCCGATCGGTCTCGTCGTCGTCGTCCATCGTGAACCCGGCGGTTGCACCCAGTGCCAGTCTGCCGGGGCCACGGCCGCGCCCCGCGAATCCGCCGCGGCCGCCGCCCCTCGCCATCCCCATGCTCAGCCCCAAGCTCATCCTCGCCTACGGTGCAGGGCGCTCGCCACCTCAGGCGACAGCGGTGAAGCTCCTCCTCTCACCGGCAGCCTTGCCACCTTCGCTGGCGCTGGCGCGGGCGGCGGCACAGCGCTCGCGGCGGCGAGAGAGGCGCCGTCAGCGGCGGGCACGGCGGGCACGGCGGGCGCGACGGGGCCGGGCGCAGCGGGGACGTCGTTCGAGGCGGCGGCGGCGGCGGCGGCAGCGGCGGCAGCGGCGGCGGCGGCGGCGGCGGCGGCGGCAGCCATCGCCGGGTCCTCCTTCTCCCTGCGCTTCTTTGGCTTTGTGTCCTTGGCCCTCGCGCGAAGGGCCTTGTCCGCCTCGCGCATCTCCTTGAAACGCTTCTTGTGGTGGTGGTCGTACGAGGAGAGGTGGTTCTCCCACTCCGTCACCTTTGGGCACGGCTTTCCGAGGGTCACACGAGCCGAGGAGAGGAGAGCGGTCCCCCGGCGGGGGAGGTGGTCTACGCGCTGTCGCGACGTTCACCTTGTGGTACTGCTTGTCGCACACCTCGCAGTAGAAGCACGAGACCTCCGCCTCGCGCGCCGCCTTGATGGCGCCCTGCCGCTCGTTCTCTGCGATTCGCGCCGCCGCCTCGCCGTCGCTCTCGGCAAGGATCCGCTCGCTCATGCTCGCCTTGGGGCGTGAGGACGCGGGCTCTGAGGCGGCGCATGCAGCTCCGTGCGTGGCCAGAGCGTGGAGGGCGATCAATACCAGCCCCAAGCGCGTGGATGCGATGGGGAGACCGCCGGGTGCGTTGATTCGCGGGAGGGATGCCGCCGGCTGCGTGTGATCGCATGATGCATGGTTGGGAGGCTCGCCTTGCGCGTCTCGGTCGCCTGCCGCGCCTGCGCCGCGTACTCGCTCTCTTTGCCCAGCCTGCCGGGCTCACGGGGGTGAGAGCGGGCAGCCCGGCCCACGGGCGAGCCCCGGGGGGGGGGGGGGTGTCACCCCGACGTAGCCCCAAAGTACTGCGCGCGCAGCGCCACCGGCTCGAGGCGGCCGTCAGACTTTCGGCCGAGTCCCTTGCCGCTCTGCGGCGGGGGCGGCGGAAGGGTGGCGGCGGTGGTGGAGTGGCGGCGGCGGGGGCGGCGGCGCGGGTGGTGTGGTGGCTGCTGTGGCGACAGTGTGGTGGCTGTGGTGGCTGTGGCGGCGGTGGCGGCGGTGGCGGCTGTGTACCTCCCACCCGAGCTTGAGAAGGAGCAGGTGCCCTCTGTTCCACGCGGGCAGCGGCCGCTCGAGCGAGGCCTGGCTCACGCCCGTGTCGTCGAACGACTGCCGCAGCGCCTGGTCCGTCCCGCCGCCCGCCGCCAGCCGCCGGTCCTCCTCGCCCGCCAGTGCCTCCCAGTCGCTGTCGCGCGCCGCGAGGGCGGCAGCCACGGACCCGCTCGCAAAGCGCGCCGCCAGGCCACCGAGCCCGCCCTCCACGTCCTGCCACCGCTGATACACCGTCGCCCGCATCTCGCCACCGCTGGCTGCGGCCGCCGCCGGCGCCACGGAAACAGGCAAGGGCGGCGGCGGCTGCCGCTGCAGCAGCTGCGGCGGCGTAGGAAGCGGTGGTGGCGGCGGCTGCTCGTCGAGTGCGGCAGTTTGCGGCGGCGTTGAAGAGAAGCGCGACGGCGCCGTGGCGCTGCCGGAGGGGGGCGGCGCCGCAGAGAATCGCGACCGTGGCAGCTCTGGAGGCCTGCGCCTGCTGCCGCTCCGGCTGCGCCTGCGCTCCCCGCTGCGGCTGCGGCTGCGGCTCCGGCTGCGGCGCCAGCGCCGCCGGTCCCGGGCACGCCTGCTGCTGCTTCGGCTGCGGCTCCGCTCGTTGCGGCTGCGGCTGCGGCTGCGCCTGTCTCGGCGACCGTGCCGCTGCGGCTCCGCTCGTTGCGGCTGCGGCTGCGGCTGCGCCTGTCTCGGCGACCGTGCCGCTGCGGCGGGCTGCGCTCGCGATCGCGGCCGCGCTCTCGGCTGCGTGAGCTCGACATCTAGCGCGCACGCCCTTCAAGTGCCTCTTAGGGCCTCTTAGACCTACTCTCACCGCGCTTTTGGGCCAGAGAAATATCTCACTCCAGTCCAACTGCCCCCAAACAAGCCACCAAACACAGCGCCCGCAGGAGCAGGAGAACTAGGAGAGCGCAACCAGTAGGAGGCCCGCGCCTGCCCCCGTGCCGCCGGGTGCAACAACCTGTCCTATACGAGAGGGGAATCCCTGGGACCCTGTCGTGTGGGTGAACCCTGCCCAGCCCCCCTCCGTCCGATTCGCGATGCGCTCCCCGCTCCCGTTCCCCTGTGTCCCTGATCGTCCTTACAAGATCCTGCTCGTGCAGGTGGGGACCATGTCCTTCTCCCACCCCTTGTTTGGTGTGTCCGTGATATTTATTTATTTTATTTAAACAAACCACGCGCCGCGCCGGCGGATCTGTGAGAGTGGCAGGGGGCTCTCGCATGAGTCGGAGGAACCCCCTGCGACGTGCGCCTTTCTCCAGCGTTTCCGAGTCCGCCACCAACCACCATGCGAGTCACGCGCTGTGGGGGTAGCGAGTCGGTTGTGCGGTTTTCATGCCGCGGGCGCCACACACAGCGCCACACACCGGCGTCGTCCGTCCGTCGATCGAAGAAAAGGTCGTATAATCTCGAATATCGCCTCATTCCTGCTGCCGCCCCCGCTCAGCCGTCCGACCCGCCATCCAGTGCCCTTCCGTTCTGCCGTTCTGCCACCGTGCCGCCGCTTCCCCGCCTCGTCACCCTCCCGTCGCCTTACTCACTTGCCGCTCGCTCGCCGCTCGCGCCCGACTTTCTACTTCCTCGCGATCCGAACCGCTGCCACCCTCGCCTCACCCCTCGCCCCCGATAGCCGTTTGACCCGCCGCCCAATGCTCCGCCGTTCGCTGCCGTGGTCTGCCGTCGTGCCGCCGTTCCTTACCGTGCCGCTCCTTCCTCCGTGCCGCGCCGCCCTTGCCGTTTAGCCCGCCGTCCCCCCTGCCTTCCGTTACCGCCGTGCCGCCGTACCGCCTACCTGCCGTCCGTTGCCGCCGTGGCCGCCTTACCACCGACCCTTACCGTGCCACGCCGCCTTCACACACACACCTGACTTCTTGCTCGACCGAGTTTGCGTTGAGGAGCGAACCGAGCCGCTGGTGTGTCCCGCAGCGGCCTCGCTGGGCCAGAAAGTCGGCCCGCGAGTGCTCCGCAGCAGCCTCGCTGGGCCAGAACATCGGCCCGCGAGGTGGATGCTAGCATGAGCCCGATGCGTCGCAGTGCTCTTGCGTTTCGGCGGTAGTGATCTGATCACCCGAATACCACGTCGGATCGCTCCTCATCGCAAACCCTGTCAGCAGTTCACCTTCGAGTACGTACTACATACACTGAAAATAACCCCGAGAAACCCGTCGGCGGTCGGGGCACTCCTCATCGCAAACCCTGTCAGCAGTCCTCCTCCGGGAATGTACGTATCTAAGAGCCACATACAACGAGAGAGAGAGACCTCTCTCCCTTTTCTCCCAGTAAGCTAAAAGTACGTACAACGAGAGAGAGAGCTACAAGTACGTACAACGAGAAATGAGAGGGAGAGGCCCAGGTCTCCCCCGCAACGCTCGACTCGTTGCGATCATCCCCCCGAGGACCCCGGTAGTCCGCCCCGACCGGAAGGCCCCCGCACCCGGGGGGTCCCGGCGGGGGGCACCATGATCGTCCGGAGGGACGCGGCCTAGGACGCGGCCCTCCGTAGGTCGGTCCGTACACAGAAACAGGGTACGAACCGGGCGAGGGCTGGGAGGGCTTTGGCACCGCCTACGCCTACCTGCACATGGGCTTGGCCGCCGCGCAGAACGGCACGACGATCGCCCAAACCAAGCCCCAATTCGGGCGTCAACGAGCTGCTCAACCCGTGCATTCAGGCCGTCATGACGACGGCGGACACGATCTTCACGACGCCGCTCCGCCCGCCCGATTCAGATGTCTGCTTCAGCGGAATGTAGACGTGGATGTCGCGCTAGACCGGGTCCACCGTACTTGTATGGCACCCTCGCGTCGCATGCACGCATGCACCATGCAGTCCTCCAACCCGTTTCGTTCGTTTTTTGTTTCGTTCGTAGCGTGACAAATCAAGGCATGTGAACTCTCACAGACCAGCGCACAGCGCCATAGGCCGTATTTTATTCTCAATAACAAGGCTGTGAATCAAACAGAGCCAAGAGTCATGTTGTGGTCGCGCCGTGAATTCACACTGTTTTACGGCCTTTGCCGCTGTCGTGGCACACAAAACAAATCTCTGTCGTGGACGGCGAAGAAGCCGCCGTGGTACAACCCGAGCACGCCCCACGCGTGTGGCCACATCCGGGCTCCAGGCTCCACCAACCTCCACAGAACACAACTCGATGACATTCCGCCTCTACTCTACTCTCTACTGTGAACGAATAAAAAACCCAGGCGTTTTTTCTCTGCCGTCTGACTATACCCCCCCCCCCACCACCACCACCACCAGGCGTTACAAAGGATTTATTTATTTCAATCCAGCGCAGAACCCACAGCACCAACCAACCAACCTGCCAACCACCACAACTGACTGAAGAAGGTAAGAGAAAACGCTCTATTACTGGACACCAGGCGGTTGCATGGGTGGCAAGAGCCGTTGATGAGACGGTCACACACAGGCGGTCACAAGAAGGCGGGAAGGAATCCGGTAACCCGAAACGGCCGTCAGAACTTCCGCACGCGCCTCGGTTCGATTGGCCACTGCGTGTCTGCGCGACTCGGGAGCTGTCGGTGTAGCCATGCAAGCGGTTATCGATCCCACCAGGGCAAAGCGGAGCTCGGTCGGGGCCATGGGCGTCGAGGCGCTCAGGAGCTCTGTGGTCGGCCTCAGCAGGCAATCCCGCCGCAGCATGTCCGTCCAAGAGGGCAGGACGCACAAAGGTCACCTGCGCCCGCCAAGGAGCTAGCCAGCTCAAAATTTGCACCAGTTACTTCCCTCCAATCTGTCTGTTCAGGCGGCGAGCCGCGCAGATCGTACTCGGCCCCTGCCCGATGCTCGGATTCGGTACATCCTGAGCCTGAGCCCGAGACAAGCGAGCGGTCGCCGCTGTGCTCTCCCGGCCGAGCAGTCCGTATTGCGCCCGACATCAAAGCTGGGCCCGCCTTTGATCCTGCCAACCACCGCATTGCTATTTGGGCATTTGGGTCCCGTGGCGACGTACAGCCCTATGTAGCGTTGTGCGTTGCACTGCAGGAGGCCGGCTACGACGTGATGCTAATCCTGTACGCGGACTGTGTGTCGGTCAGACGGTGTAGATGCCCGCCGTAAGAACGGCCATCCCAGCTAGGCCTCCCCCATCGGGGGTCCCCATCGTCCGAGTGCATGCGTCAGGTGGCCGAGCATTGGGGCGTCAAGAAGACTCACGCCATCCCATTTGAACTGGGCGCAATGCTGCGGAACGAGGCCGTCGCCAAGAACCTCTGGGCAGGCACGCGTCTACCGCCTCGGGCGCTGATTGCGGCCGGTATGCTCGCAGTCTTAGTCGGAGCTGTGCGGTAATAGGCAAGCTCCTCAAGCTCAAGAAGGCAATCGAAGAGCTGCACAACTGGGAGGCTGAGTTTGACGAGCTGCACTCCGTCAGGGAGGCGGTCGTGGCCTTTTGCCCGACGCTTCTGATCTCGACCGCAACCGTGTCGACGGTGGCGTGCTGCTTGACCGAGAAGCTCGGAATTCCTCACATCCTCACCTACCTGCAGCCGGCGCACCCGTCTCGCCAGTATTTCCCAGTCATGTTGGAATGGCTTTTGTCGACGACGAGGCTGGGCTTCCTCGCCCGCCTTCGATGCCTCAACGGCATCGGCCACTCTCTGATCACTCTCGGGGGTGCGCGTTGGAGCGTAGACCATCCGCAGGCGTGGTGGGTGGAGAAGGCGCTCGACCTGAAGCCGGCCGCGACCAGAAAGCAGCTCGTCGAGATGTGGTACCGGCCTCCCTGTCCCGTCTTGCTGTTCGTCTCGTCGCACCTCTTCCCGCGGCCGAGCGACTGGGACGACATGATTCAGCAACCAGGCCCACTCACCGTCAAGGAGGACGCCGTCGAGCCAGCCGAGGACCTTCGCGCCTTTGTGGAGGCCAAGGCGGAGCCGCCCATCTACATCGGCTGGGGCTCGATGGTGTGTCGCTCCGCCACCTTCATGACCGAGCTCGCCTGCCGTGCCATCTGGCTGGCAAATGCGCGCGGTGTCGTGCTCGGCGGTTGGGCGAAGCTGAGCGTAGATGCGCTGGACCGCAGTAAGGCGGACTTCGCGAATCTGAAGGCGTACGTCGACGCGAATGTCTTCTTTGTGCCGCCCGCCGCGGCGTGCCCCCACGAGTGGCTCTTCCGTCGCTGCAAGCTGACGGTCCACCATGGGGGCGCCGGCACCATGGTCGCCGCTGTGCGCGCGGGCCGCCCTACCATCATCACTCCGGTCGCCTTTGATCAGCACGTTCACGCGAGGTGGGTGTCCCGGATCGGCTGCGGCAGAGGCACCAGCGCGCTGGGGCGCGTCACTCCCAAGGAGCTCCTGGGCGCAATCAAGAAGTGCAACTCCACCGAAATGGTGGAGACCGCGAAGAGGATCGGGGAACTCGTCCGATCGGAGAACGGCGTGGAGTCCAGCGTCAAGATGATCGGCAGCTACTTGGAGTCGCAAGTGGAGACGGGTCGGTGGAAAGAGATGTTTGAGCAGCGGTGGACGAGCCTGCGCCGCCAGAAGTAACAGGACTGGGAGGAGGACGCTGGGCACCACAGAGGACGCGCGAGACGAACAGTCCAACTTAATACGAGTCACGTGAGGTGTGTTTGACAACGTTCTCCCATCTTGGCTGCGCTGCTCGAGGGGGCAACTTGCAAAAGCGTGAGTGCCGTCAGAGCCCCACCGGGGTCAGCGAGCGGGCGGGGAGAGTCTCGAGAGACGAGAGTGGAGTCTGGAGAGAGAGGCAGCAGCCCCTTGGAGTGTGAAGATCCGCAGGACTGGAGCGAAAAAAAGCAAGCGAGTGGAGAGGCAGGGAGGGTGTTATCGTGTGTGCACACTGGAGACACTTCTCTGGAGACAGCGCGGACAGCTCAAAGACTACAGACACTCTGGAGTGCGTTGGGGCCTGCAGTCCTCATTCACATTCACCCACGCGCTCACAAGGCGTGATTTTTTAAGTTCTCAAGGCCACGATCGAGCTGATCCCGTCCGCGCTCTCTCTGTAATCAGGCCGAGAGTACCAGGGAGGAGGGGAGAAGAGCCCAGGGTGGGGAGAGGAGAAGAGCCTAGGGAGGGGGGAGGAGAAGAGCCCAAGGCGGCCTCCCTCTCCCTCCCCTCCCACCGGGCCTCCCTCTCCCTCTCCTCCCACCGGGCCTCCCTCTCCCCCTCCTCCCGCCAAGCACCGACAGTCTCGAGGGGCCAGCCGCTGGGGGAACCACCTCCGAAGGGGGGGTGGACGTACGCCGGCGGCATGAGGGCTTCAACCACACAGCTACCAAGGGAACGCGACCCACACAAAGCACCAAAGTTAGGCATACCCCCCGGCGCAGTGTCCCCCGCTATGTGTCGCCGTTTGTCGGGGCACGCTATCCTGTGCAGTCAGGGCAAGTGGGGGCGGGGTGGAGTGCCCAGGCCAGATGCCCTGGGATTTCTCTGCCCAGTCCGGGGGTGCGTCGAACCTTCCATCACCCTGCGGGAACGTCCGGGTGTTGGAAGTAAAGATATATTACTTTTTCTCTCTATAAACTATAACTATTTTCCGACCGCCTCGCCATGCCGTATCCCGCGCCTGTGAAGAGGCTCCCGCCGTTATGATTTTATCTCTCCAGTGTCTGCTATCCTTGTGGGGATGGCAACGGCGCCACGCCGCCGGCGCAACGCGCGCCACCGCCCGCGCCATTGTCACTCGCCGCTCGCGGCGCGCAAATAGGTGTTGCTCGTCATCAGCTTGGAGAGGCCAGTCATGCCGAGCTGCGCCATCGCCTGGTACGACTCGAGCTGCGCGCGCGCCACGTCTGCGCCCTCCGAGTCGCTGGCGTCGAGCGTGGCGAGTGCGCGTCCGAAGAGCTGATTCACCGCCTCCTCCTCCTCCTCGCACAGCGCGACGAGCTCGCGCAGCGTCGCGCCGGCGCCAAACGTGTTGTGCAGCAGCATCGCGTCGCTGACCGCCTTCTTGGCCGCCTGCTTGCGCTTGTACTCGTCGTACACCTCCGGAGGGAGGGGCGGTAACGGCGATCGGCTATCTCCCGACTACGTCTGACTGTGCACTTTGGGTACAACCCGGCTATACCTGTACCTCCGCCATATGTGGGCCGCATCTGGGCCGCATCGAGGCTAGATCTGGGCTAGATCTCGGCTACACCTCGGAAAAGTTGGTACCGATGATGGTGATTGGCATCGCAAGCGTCAGGACACCTGTGCGACGAGGGCCCGACCCGTCGCCCGGGCGGGCGGCGGGCGGCGGGCGGCGGGGCGCGCGGCGGCGCCTGCGAACATTGCAACGGTGGCCACAACCTTGCCCCCCGCCTCCACCGGGAAGGTATCGCCGTACCCGACGGTGGTCATCGTCACGACGGCCCACCAGAAGGTGGAGGGGATGGAGGGGAAGGGCGACACGGAGCCGTCGGAGCGGACGAACGCCCCGTTCACCAAGACGCCGCGCTCTGCGTACCAGAGCAGCGCCGAAAAGATGAGCACGGCGACCGAGACGAGGACGACGAGCATCTTGAGCCCCTCGGCGCTCTTCGAGATCGCCTTGGCGAAGAGCTGCAGCTCGGTCGAGTGGCGAAGCAGCCGCATCAGCCGCACGACTCGCATGACTCGCAGGACGCCTCCTGCGCCGCTCGCGCCGCCGTGTGAGGAGAGGTAGAGCTCGAGGTAGAAGGGGAGGATGGCGGCGAGGTCGATCAGGTTCATCGGCTCGACGAGGAAGGTGAGCCGCGACCCCTTCTCGTGGACGAGCAGGCGCAGCAGGTACTCGAGTGTGAAGATTGCGACGACAGTGTACTCTGCGTCGGCAGCAAAGGCGGGGTACCAGTCGCTGCTGCGCGACCACTCCGTGGAGGAGACGACGAAGGTGGTGGTCGACACGACGATAGCGATCACCACCACCCACGAGACCACCCACGCGGCGGTCGACGAGGACGGCTCGTTCAGGAGGAGGTTCAGCTGCCGCCGCGCGCGGCCGAGCGGCGTGGTGGGCGGAGGCAGGGCCCAGACGGACCCGCGGGCGGAGGAGGCGCTGACGGAGCGCGTGTTGGGCTCCGGCTGCTTGTCCAAGAGCGTGTCCATGGGAGACGTGAGGGGGGTAGAGCGTCGAGATGAGCAACGCGGGCAGAAGAAACAGACCCCGCGCAGTCCGCCACCTCGTCCTGGAGAGACAGAGAAGTTGTTATGTTGGGATGGGCGACGCACGAACACAAAGGCACAGTGCGCACCCCGCCCCGCTCGCAGGTCGTGCATCACACAGGTGAAGAGAAGCTCTCACAGGTGGACTGTGTGTCTGAGTCTGTGTGCCTCCTCGGGGTTTGTAGTCGCGACAGACTACCCGTGGCTTGGGCGGGCACTTTTGGTGGTGGTGCGCAGCGCCACCGGCGCCGCGTCGGAGTGGCGGCCGCCACTCGCGTGGTGCGTTGCGGCCTCTCCGGAGAGCCCCCGTCACCACCGGCGGCCGCCTTCAACTCCCCGAGCGGGGCCGGCTGGGGGCCGGCTGGACACCGGCACGATCGGCAATTCCCTGCGCGCCTTGCGTAGGGCCACAGCCCCTGGGCCAGCTTGCTGTGGGAACCACCTCAAGGCCGGCGCATGCGCCGGCGATGGACTGACCCAGCAGCTCAAGGGCTCGCACTCTCCTCACCACCACCGCGCGCGCGCGCTGCAGCAGGAGTGCCGCAGCCGCACTGCGACAATATGCCGCACTGCGACAATATGCCGCAGCTGCACCGCTTCTCCTGGACAGCCATCGAGTACTCGATGGTCCACTCCGATGGCGCGGTCAGCACCGCGCCGAATCTCTTCTGAGAGCCGGCGCGGATCGCGGACGGATGCGGCTCAAGGCTCTGCCGGCGGGTCTGTGGCCTGGCGCCTGCTAGACTGCGGGTCCAAATATACCCCGGCCTCGCGCGCGCCACCGCCCCCGGCGCGGGGTGGGATATCAGTTCGTGAGTTCTGTGTCCCCGTCCCTGTGCTCCACCTTCTTCTCCCGTGTCAGTCCCTGAGAACCCCATTATGTAGCGCCACCTCGTGAGCTGTCCTGTGAGCTGCGTGCTGTGTGTCCAGCAGTCCGGACCCGGTGCTAAGGCCGGTGACAGTGTGCCTCGTGTCGGCTCCCGAGCCAATCGTGTGCAGCGTGTGTGTGCGTGTGGGCCCGTCCTCCATGCTTGGAGGTGTGTAAGACTCACTGACTGACAGACTAGCGTAGCACGACTCGGGTTTTCTTCTTGTCTTTTTGGGGCGAGAGGCTTCGGGATGGTCGGCTTCGAGTCGGTGTAGCTCGCGGCAGCCTGGCAAGGCGGTAAAGGAAGGGCGACCCGCGCGCAGGGGATGTCGTCCTATGTGTTCTACGAGAACCTCCCGGACGGCGTCCACGACGTGCTGCTCGGTCCGCAGAACGGCCTCTACCTCACCGGCTACGACTCACGCCGCCGCATCACCTTTGTGCTCTACGCACCGCCCTTTGGCCAGCGGCTGCGGTACATCTCGCAGCTGCCGTACCGGGACTACGGACAGTTCGCGCCCACTGTCCTGGGCGCGCACGAGGAGTCCCGCGGCACGCTGCTCATCCTCCTCTACCAGCGGCCGATTTCGTGGGGCAGCGAGTCGATGGCCCTGTACCGAGTCAGCCCCGAGGACGGGAGCCAGACGCTGCTGAGTTCGACGCCGTCGCCCTTCTGGCCGCCGACGGCGCTGCTGCCCCGCTCGGACGGCTCGGTCCTCGTCGCCACCTCTGGCTCCGGCCCGCTCCTCCGCTACGACGGCTGCAACGCCACAGCGTGCGCCGGCCCGAGTGCACTCGCCTCGGCCGCCTCGAACGCGACTGGCAAGGCGGGGCTCGCGGAGGTGCGAACGGCGCACGGCAAGACCCTCTGCCTCGTCACCGGCTCGGACCAGCTGACTGGCCGGGGCGGCTCCATCTGCTGCGAGCGGCGGGACGGCTCTCTGCAAACGATTTGGGCACCCGCCACCGCCACGGCCACCGCCGCCGCCCCCGCCTCCGCCGCCGCCGATTCGCCCTCCCCCGCGCCTGTCCTGCCGCCGGCCCCGCCCCCGGAAGGGGCGGCGTCGGAGGGGGGCGCGCCCGAGCGGGACCCTCCCGGTGGCGACCCGGCGCGGCGGGCGAGGCTCGAGGCGCCAGAGGCGTGGGGGAGCGGCAACCGCTCCTCCTCCTCCTCCTCCTCCTCCTCCATGGCTGCGATGACGCAGAGCAGCCCCTCCCTGCTCGCACGGGGCCCCCCGGTGGTGCTGCGTCGCGCGCGGCGCGGCGGCGGCGCTGCGGCGACCGCCGAGGAACGCCGCGGCGCCGAGGCGGGCGGCGGCGCCGAGGCGGGCGGCGGCGCTGAGGCGGGCGGCGGCGCCGCGGCGGAGGCTGCCGTCGAGGTGGACTCTCTTCTCGTGGTCTCCCTCTATCCGACGAGTCCGCGCGGCTTCGAGGAGCGCCGCGCACGCACACGCGGCGCGCCGGCCACTCGCCCCCCGGCGTGCAACGTAGGTGAGTACGGCTTCGAGCAAGGAGCGGTCAACGCGCTGCGCCCGCGCGCCGCCCTGCTCGGCGAGACGTGCGGCGACGCCGGCTGCTGGGCGGCGCCGCAGCGCGTCGCGAGCTCGCTCTCCAACCCGCGCGGCGTCGCGGTGAGCGCCGCGCTCGGCAAGCTCTACGTCGTGGAGCAGAATACGCTGCGCGGCGCCTCGTACGAGCTCTTCTCGGGCGACGTGCTCCAGTGCACGCTAGAAGCGAGGTCGGGGGAGATATGGGGAGATGTGGGGGACGTGCTCCAGCCCTGCACGCTAGAAGCGGAAGATGCATTCTGGTCTTCCAAACAGCGCTTGAGAGGACACGTACTCCGCTGTCGCTGCTGTATTCGGAGCCCGTGCATCCACGCGGTGCTCTGAATACACGGCACACCACCGTCCTCCCGCCCCGAGGTTGGCGTGTTCAGCACGTAGGCTCTGCACCGACGGGCGGTACGAGTGCGGCGCGGGCCAGAATGCGGGCGAGTGCGAATGCGCGGCGGGCTTCGGCGGCGCGTGCTGCGACACGCCCTCCTCCTCGAGCGGTGTGGTCTCCCTCCTCGCCACCGCGGGCTGGTGGGGCGCGTTTGCGCCGCCGCTGCTCGCGGCGTTCGCTCTCCTCTCTTTTGGGTTGCGCCGCCGGCGCGCCTCCCCCCTGCCGGCCGGCTGGTCGCTCAGCGACGCATCGCTGCTCGAGGCGCGCGACGCGCGGCCCATGCCTCCGCGCGTGGCTCGGCGGCGCGGACTCTTCGCCCAGCTCGACTCTCAGCAGGATGCCGCATCGCTCGCGCCTGTCAACGTCGGCGGCAGCGCGCTCTCGCTCGCGTCGCTGCTCGCGCCGATGAGGCAACCGTTGCTCGGCGAGGGCGGCGCTTGCTCCGGCTCGCACCAGCCCCCTCGGTGAGTAACGAATTGATGACCCGAGTCACCCGAGATTACCCGAGATTACTTGATTCATCAGGCTCGCACCAGTCCCTGCTCTCCATGCCCGTCGCGTGGGGCGGCGGCGCGACCCGCGAGCCGTCGAGCTGCGACGGCTCCGCCCTCGGCGACTTCGACCTGCCCTTCGACTCGACGCTGCCTTCGCCCCACGGCGACCGCTCCTCCGTCGGCTCGATCTCTCGCGACCGCACGCCCCTCTCAACCCCGCAGCGGCCGCCGCCTGCGGGGGCGCCGCTGGCCACCGAGCCGGGCAGTGTTCCTCGCGCGGCCGCCACGGCCGAGGCCGGCAGCGGCAGCATGCCCATGAGCCGGCACGGGTCGCGGATGCGCCTCTATCACGAAGTCGTCAACGAGGCCGACACGCAGGAGACGGCCCTTCCCGAGGACTCGTTCGACGCGCCGCTCTCGCCGCTCTCGCCCCACGGCGAGCTGGCCGAGTCGCTGTTCTCGGGGTTTGGAGGCATGGACTTTCGTCCAAGGACGCCGGACCCGGGTTCCAGTGGCTCGCAGGCGCCGTCTCCCGGAGTGGCAACGTCGCGGCCCCACGGGGCGGAGTGGCAAGGCCCCGGTGGGCCCGACGGGGGCAGCCCTGGTGGCGCTGGGGTCTGGGGACGGGATGGATGAGAACAGTGTGACGTCGGTATGGTGTCCAGAGGGGTTGCGAGCAAGGCCGAAACCTCAGGAGTTCGCGCCTCATCCCTCAATCGAGGCTGGGCCTTCGAACGTCGAACTTTTCTGCGCGTTTGGCGTTACTTTCTGCTGCCACAACGATCCTAATGAGATCCCACTCTGCTCCGTATTCTCTTGTGTCGTACACCGACCTTACAGCGGAGGCGAAAGGTCTCGGAAGGAGAGCAGGAAAAAATTCGAGCAAATATATAATCGAGATAGACACCACAGGCGTCTCGGGGCTCATCCTTGTTCCCGGGGCATAACTCCCCCACAGCGCAGACGTTCACACTTCCCACAGCGCCTCGTCCAAGACCTGTCTTGTGTGTCCTGGACCTGCCTTGCTTTCTGCTCGCTTTTATGTCGCTTCGCCTTACCAGTTACCACGCTCTCACTCCCCTCGATGCTGGCGTTCGCCGCGCTCCATTGCCTCGCGCGCGCGTCCTCTCTGCCGATGGCATCGTTCATGGCTTCCCCTCCGGGAATTGAACCCGGGTCTCGACGGTGACAGCGTCGGATACTAGCCACTATACAAAGGAGAATGCCAGACTTCAAAGACGCGATCACAGCAGCGCTGACCAGCCTCAACACAAGGCCGTATCCGACGCGGACATGAGGAGCCTCGCAACAGCCCAAATAATCAGCAATACCATAACACGAGGCGAGCACGACATATATGACCCGAGATCGACCCGAGATCGACCCGGGATCGACCCGAGATCGACCCGAGATCGACCCAAAATCGGCACGAGCGATCTACCCGACAATGCACCAAAGCCCCCTGCGGGGGGATCCCCCCCCACCCCGAGTGTCCGTGTCCTTCGCGAGTCACCGATGGGGAGCGGGGGGGGAAGAGAGGAGCAAAGGGGAGGCTGGGGAGGGGGGGGTCCACTCTGAAGACTGCCGACCGCGGGGGGGGTTTCTCCCACAGGGTTTTCACCCTCCGCGTGAGGATCGGCGCGGCGAGGGGGTAGGTTCGAATTCGCCGCGCAACATTTCACCCCCACAGGACCCCGCCCGCCCCCCCTCATGGTCCCACCTAGCACCCAAACGAGCCTTCGCACCCTCTCCTTGCGTGGTGTCCCCCGCTATGTGTCGCCGTCTTCGGGGCACGCAATCCTGTGCAGTCAGGGCAAGTGGGGGCGGGGGGCACTCCCACCGACGTATGTATCTGTGGTGACTGTCCCTAGTCTCGGAGGGGGGCTTGAAGCTAAGAATATTTTATTTTTGTCGTGTTGTGTGTGGTTGAAACATCACGATCGTGTCGGCGCGCTCCGTCTCCAACTCTGTCTGGGCCTGTGGTCCCTGCCAGATCCTGCCGCGCTGCACGCGTACAAGCCGCAGCGGCGTAAAGAGAGAAAGACGTTTTTGATGCCACGCCTTTTACAACTCAAGTCTTCTGGGGAGCATTTTTCCACAACCAGTCTCTCACGCGCGACCTACTCACCGCCTCTCACGCGTAGGTGCGCGGCCTCCTTAGCCAATGGGAGGCGGTGCAGAGTGTTTCTTGTAATGATTAGCATCCCTGGCTGTGTGTCTTGTGAGCTTGTTGAAGATGAGCGCGCGCGTCTCAGCGCAGGCCAGGTCTACACTGGCCGCGGCACCAGCTCCCGCGGTCTGCACGCTAGGAGTGGTTGGTCCGCCCTCGCAATGACTGCATACTCCCCCCCCCCCCCCCCCGCCCTGTCCATCATCTACTTCATATACCATGAGGCGTCGAAGCTAATGCGATCCAGTCCAAGTATTAGCCTGCGGCGTGAATCCGTGTTCTTTCTTAGCGACCTTGACGTGAGCAAGGCGCCGGGCTCCGATTTCGACGAGCTGCGGGCGGCGCATGACAGGCTCAAGAAGGAGCACGGCGAGATCACGGCGACGTGGAAGGAGTGGGACAACAAGACGAAGGCGGAGTACTTTGACCTGGTTGGCGGTACGACAGGCAGGCCCCCGGACGTCGAGGTGGAGCCGTGGGACGAGCCCGACGAGGGCGAGAAGCTGCGCGCCTCCGCGCGGCCGCCGGAGCCGGCTACGAGGGTGGCGCGCGCTCTCGCGCTTCCGGCCGCATACTCTCGTCGAGGCCAAGGAGCTGCTGCCACTCGCCGAGTTCACGTCCAAGCACGAGTTCCTACACCAGGCGCAGCGGCGCTTCACGACGGTGGTGGGTGGTCCACAACAGGAACTGGCGCGACCTCGCCGTGGAGGGCTCCGCGGGATCGCGGTCTGCTCCTCGCGGCAAGAAGGGCAAGGCGCAGGCCAAGGGCAGGGAGCGGGCGAAGCATGCGGCTTGGCGGGAGGCAGTCCGCTTCGTGGCGGTGAGCCAGGATGGCGCCGGCGCCTTCCTCAACGCCATCCCCATGCGGGATGACATGCGAATGGAGACTTGGGCGATGCGTCTTTCGGTGCAGCGCCGCCTGGGTCTCCCCCTCGACGTGGCCTGCCAGGCCGCGCGGGCGGCGGGCAAGAAAAACTCGTGAATGGGGAAGACCCTACTACTGAGTATTGGCGACCCCTGCCTTTCCAACGTACTCGCAGCCAGGGCCCCCCAACCCCTCTAACTCCAAGTATCTCCGCTTTCCGACGGCCTTCATTCCTTCGTCCCTTAGGCGGTCCGAGGGGGGGGCACCCC